GCGAGCACGACAGCTGCAACTGTGATGGTTACACCAACAGCATCTACACGCTGTCCATCAGCAGCACCACGCAGTATGGCAACGTGCCCTGGTACAGCGAGGCCTGCTCTTCCACCCTCGCCACCACGTACAGCAGCGGCAACCAGAATGAGAAGCAAATAGTGAGTGGGGGCTACTGCTGTCTGCAGGCCAGGAGCTCTGGGGGTGGATCATGCCCACAGCACCTCCTACCCCGGCACTCCTCTTCACAGGTGACAACTGACCTCAGACAGAAGTGCACCGAGTTGCACACCGGGACGTCAGCCTCGGCGCCCCTGGCTGCCGGCATCATCGCCCTTGCCCTGGAAGCCAAGTAAGGGCAGGACGGAGGGGGCTGGGCAGGGATGGCTGTGCCAGCCTCGTGTGACAGCAGTGCCCAGGCATAAACCTGCCTGGGGCTGGCAGAAGCCAGCACTGACCTGAGCCACATATCTCCCTGCAGCAAAAACCTGACCTGGCGGGACATGCAGCACCTGGTGGTGCAGACCTCAAAGCCAGCTCACCTCAATGCCAACGACTGGATCACCAATGGCGTTGGCCGCAAAGGTACCAGGGTGCTGGGGAGGGATGAGGGGCTCCTGTTCCCACATGCACCGTAGCCCAGAGGTGCTGGGGCAGAGCACCCCAGCAGCCTTGAGGGGAGAAGGAAGCAGAAGGCCCTGGTGAGCATGCAGCATGACTGGGCAAATGTCCCCCACTGGGTACCCCCAGAAGCAGTGCTGACCCCGTCTTTGTCCACAGTCAGCCACTCATATGGCTATGGCCTGCTGGACGCTGGGGCCATGGTGAGCCTGGCCAAGAACTGGACCACAGTGGGACCTCAGAGGAAGTGTGTCATTGACATCCTCACAGAGCCTAGGTAAGTGCTGGTGAGCCCCAGGAAGGTATTGCCCAGTGCCTGCCCAGCACAGGAGCCTGAGCACTCCTGGGTTCAGGGCAGGGACGGGCAAGGATCTTGGGCTCGGCTCCTCCTGAGACCCCCCAGGAACATCCTTTTGCAAGAGCCTGGAGAGAGCCAGGAAAGGCACCTCCAGCCATCCAGCACCAATGCCGGCACTGTGCATGCCCACTGTGGGGCTGGGCTGATGGGTGCAGGCAGGCTGGGGCGCTGCAGTCAGGGTGCAGCCAGCATGAGTCATCCTGGACAGAGGGGCTTTTCAGGGGACAGACAGAAGCTCCTTTGACTCCTGCTTGGCCACTGCCGCCACAGCACAACGTGTGCCAAGTCTCGTGTGCAGTCAGGACACTCCCTGGGTGCTCCTTGGGGGCTCACATCCCTGGATGTGGAGCTGGGAGGGAGCTGGGCCCTGCCCTGACCCCTGGAGACTCAGCCCTGCCTGGACGCGGTGGGCACATCCTGTGCTGACACCAGGGCCGCTCCTGTGGGGGGAGCGGCTGCATGCCAGCAGCAGGATGGGGACAGTTGTATCCGTCCCTTGCCATGCTGTGCAGGGTGTAGCTGGCTGGTGGTGTGCGAATAAAGGGCCCATTTAGGGCTGGCACGTGGCGGTGGCTGAGGAGGTGGCACTGGGCAGTGCAGACCCCCTGTGCCTGGGAGCTGGGGCACCCCCTCTGCTGCCTGCACCCGTCGGAATGGTGCAGTGGTGCTGCCACTCCCACCTGCTGCTGGGTTGATTCCCACTCCAGCTGCCCTGGCGCACAGTGCTCAGTCCTCAGGGCAACCACACACTCCCACAGTGGGGAGTGGGGACTGGGGCACCCTGTTGTGTCCACCTGGGCTGGGACTGGGCATACTCATGCTGGTCCTCGGCAGGGACATTGGGAAGCGCCTGGAGGTGCGGCGGAAGGTGGACGCCTGCCTGGGGAAAGCCAACTACATCAGCCGGCTGGAGCACGCACAGGCCAGGCTGACGCTGTCCTACAACCGGCGGGGGGACCTGGCCATCCATCTGGTCAGCCCCATGGGCACCCGCTCCACTCTCCTGGCTGCCAGGTAGGTGCCAGGCTGTGGGGGCATCCAGGCTGGCCCCTGGCCTGGGCTGGCACAGCTGAGTTTGGGAAATGTTGGCACCTACATCTCACCCTCCTTGCCCAGGCCCCACGACTTCTCTGCTGATGGCTTCAATGACTGGGCCTTTATGACAACGCACTCATGGGATGAGGATCCTTCTGGGGAGTGGATGCTGGAGATTGAGAACACCAGTGACGCCAACAACTATGGTAAGGCTGAGGCTCCTTTTTCCACTGCCTCCCTCCGAGTCTGGGATGGGAGCTGTGTGCTCACCTGGCTTCCCCCCATCCCCAAGCTGAGGGGCTGGTGACGCCGTGGATGTTTTCATGACCTGGCTGGGGAGAGAATGCATTTGTGCACATGGGGAGGGAATGCAGCCCCGCCAGGGCAGTTGGGCTCTGGGCAGTGGGTGAGCCCATGCAAGCTGGCCTGACTTCCTTCCCCTTTGGACAGCCCTGTGCAAGGCCACGGCTTCACCTCAGGCATTCTCCCAGGTGGTGGGCACAGCCCTGGTGTTCCCTGGTAGGCATGGTGGGGACCAGTGTGAGCCCCATCCTTGTGCCTGTCCTGAGCACAAGTGGTCTCAGAGGCACCTCAGTGGTCTTCGCCCTGTGTTATTGCAGGCACACTGACCAAGTTCACACTTGTGCTATACGGGACAGCCACTGACTCCCCCAGCCTCTCCAACCAGATAGAGAGCACTGGCTGCAAGACGCTGACCCCCAGCCAGACCTGTGTGGGTGAGTGTGGGACTGGTGGGGAGGGGATAGGGGGTGCGGGGGGTCCCCATCCTGTGCTGACCCTGCCTGTCCTGCAGTCTGCGAGGAAGGGTACTACCTGCACCAGAAGAGTTGCCTGAAGCGCTGCCCTCCCGGCTTCGCACCGGGCGTCCAGAGCACACTCTACAACCTGGAGAACAGCGTGGAGCCCATCATGCCCCACCTCTGCCTGCCCTGCCACCCCTCCTGTGCCACCTGCGTGGGGCCCGGCCCCAACCAGTGCCTCACCTGCCCAGCGCACTCCCACTTCAACAGCCTGGACCTCTCCTGCTCCCACCAGACACAGAGCAGCCGTGCGTCCCCTGCTGGCGAGGGGCCAGCTGAGGCCCCTCCTCCGTTCAACCTGCCTGTCCTCATTGCCAGCCTCAGCTGCATCCTCATCGTTGTCATCTTTGTCGCCATCTTCCTGGTGCTGCAGGCGCGCTCAGGCTTTAGCCTGCGAGGCGTGAAGGTCTACGCCCTGGACAGCGGGATCATCTCCTACAAGGGGCTCCCCTCTGACATCTGGCAGGAGGAGGGCCCCTCTGAGTCGGACGGTGAGGATTACGAGGCCCACAGTGAGAGGACTGCCTTCATCAGAGACCAAAGTGCCCTTTGATGAGCCCTGCTGCCCCTCCCTCCTCCCTGCCCGAGGCCGAGGGGCCCCAGACTCTGCCCTTGTCCCCTTCCCACACTGCAGCAGCCCGGGGCTCCCACCCACTGGCACCGTCCCTTGGCCCTGGTCTGGGAAGCTGGGCACAGCCCTGCCAGCACCATCCCCAGTGCGGCACCATCCCAGTCTTGCACCATCTCTCCTGGCCCCGCATCCATCCTGTGCCCTGTGCTGGGGTGTTTGGTGGCAGGAGGACCCCTGCAACTCACTGGCCATGTGCTGGCAGCCCTGTCCCCCACCCTGGGTGCACAGCTACTGCCTGGGGTCCCTTGAGTCCTCCAGAGTGGGCAGCATGTGGGGTCCCTGGGTTGCCATTTCTCAAGGTGGACTGGCCAGGGCAGGGGTGGCTCTGCCCCCCAGGGCTGAGCCCAACCTGTGGCACAGTATCCCCCTGCCTCTGCTGCCCTCAGCCCCTGCCGGGCTGCATCCCTGGCTTGGCCCCTTATGTTCCAGCTCCCTGCCACCTCGCCAGGCCTGTCTGCCTCCACCCG